AGCCAAGGAGGAGGCAGCAAAGGAGGAGGCAGTCGCGGGGGAGGCAGTCGCGGAGGAGGCAGTCGCGGTGGCAACCGAGAAGGCCAATGTGGAGGCAACTGAGAAGAAAACGAGACCGAAGAAGATTATCTATATGATGATTCTAGATATTATCATAATGGTGGCCGGAAGAGCTTGTAAATGATATACATTTTTAATTTAAATTGAACATTGTTTATTTATACTATAATTCTAGTCTGTTTATTATTAATTTTATTCCAGTCTGTTTGTTAAATAAAATGTGTATTCTAGTAGTCTGTTTATTACTTTTATTCTAATCTGTTAATTTTATTCTAATATTTGAAACATATTTTTTAATTTTTTTTAAAACAAAAAAACTTTTTTTTTTAAAAACCAAATAACTTAGTCACGGATCTGGTCCATGACTAAGTTTTTAGTCCGGAATTCTTTTATAAATTTAAAATTTTTTTTTTTATAAAAAAATTTTAGTCACGGATTTATGACCGTGACTAATACGAAATTTCAAAAATTTGAAAATAGGAACCGCAGTTTTTTGAAAATTTTCAAAATTTGAAAACTTAGTCACGAATATTTCTGTGACTAATTTGGCCGCATTTTAAAAAAAAAATATTTAGTCACGGACGTGTCCGTGACTACAATAAAAAAAATTAAAAAAAAAAATTAGTCACGGATCTTAGCCGTGACTAAAGTGCCGGAGTAGCTATTCTGGTGACAGATTAGTCACGGATCTAGTCCGTGACTAATCCGTGACTACATTTAGTCACGGACTATTTGGCATGACTAAATTTAGTCACGCCCAAACAGTCACGGATTTAGTCACGGATAAAATCCGTGACTAAAGGAGTTAGTCACGGATTTTTTAAACTAGGGTCCGTGACTAAATCCGTGACTACAACCGAATTTTTTTGTAGTGTAAATGCCCAACCCTATTGCAGATATATCAATTTATGAGGATAGTATGGGTGAAAACATGACTAATAAGATTGAACTATTTTAACATAGAAAATGAAACATGGTGTCCTAACACTGTATTTCAAAAGACCTGTTTTATGTAAAAAGATGTCATAGAAAGACCGACATAAACGAAACATCTTAGCTCTAACAGTTGATCTCTCATATGTTTTTAGAAGATGTCACATAACGGGCTGTTTTTATTAAACTTAAAAATCAACATATTTATCTTGATCACCTATCCTCATGCAGCTTGATTATTTAAACAATTTGCATTGCTAAGTAACTCTTATTTATTTGTTCTAAAATATATTATTAATTTCAATTATTTGGTTATTCATGTTATACAACTTCCATATATAAAAGGGGAGAATATCATCAAACTCTTCAAAATGAAACAGAATGACAAATTTGAAACAACAGGCACACTTACTATAATTCAACTAAATGGGGTGTTAGGTCATGTATAAAATACTTAGTCATATCAGGCTCAACTTTTGGGATTTTTAGTCATTCAAAATATAAGTATGTTTTCTTCTTTAAAATTCCTTCCTACTTATTTTGAAGACGGGAGCTGCACAAAAGGATGGAGAGAAGTATGCGACGGACCATGTACCTTCCTCCATGTAATTGATTTTAAAAGAGGCTAAATTTTATAAAAAGATGTTTAAAAAAAGGCTCTCTTTATAAAACGAAAAAATCAACCTTAACATATTCCTCTATTACTTTATATATCCAACTTTTATCAAATATAATTTTTCTTTTGTGATTTTATAAAACTTTTGATTTAGTATCTGAATATGTAAATTTTATTTAATAAAAAAAAATATAATTACGGACACAGATCAATTAACTTTATAGCCAGTAAAATATCGCAAACCATGTGGGAGCCTTTCTATGGGACGTAGAGAGTAATAGATCTTTATTTTATTTTTTTATATATGATACTGGTGTCATATGAAAAATGATAAAAAGTTATGAATTTTGATATATGTTTTGTAAAAATTGGATTATAAATATTAAAGTTATCTCACTTTAAAAATGCTAAGAGAGATTACTTCTCCTTCTTTTTCTCCAAATTAGCCGTGAGGTAGGAGTTTTATTTAAAGAGCCGTGTGAGTTATTTAATTGTTTAAGTTGTTGTGATAATAGAATTTGCATTATCCAATAGGAGGTTGACACATCATTAGTTTTTAACTCAACTTTACTATATAAAACTATAGATTGGCAAAAAAGGTGCACCTAGCAAGTTAGGGGGTGGACGAAGGAGCTCCACTTATGAAATAGTTAAAATCAAATACCAGTCCTGGTTTCTATTTTTGGGACTAGACCGGGCAGTTCTGATCCTGACCGGTAATTTTTTTCCCTACTTGTAGGGATGGACCCGGGTCGGGTCCGGGCCGGGCCTAGGCCCGGTCGGGCCTCGGGTCTGGTAAAGGTAGGCCCGGGACCGACACGAGCAATGGCCGGTTCCGGTTTGGGCCGGGCCACCCTGAAGTCTTAATAGGTCCTTGTGAGATCGAACAATTTATTGGTCCGGAAGACCATATGCAATTGCACTCTTTTTCCTTAACCAAGTTTTGTCCCATAGGGTTTTCTTGGTCAAAGGTTTTAACGAGGCAGTTTGTCACTTTGAATAACATACTATTTTTCTCTAGAAAAGTAAATTCAAATGCAATCAAGAAGATCAGGCCCGAAGACCAATCACTGTACTCTTTTCCTTTACTAAGTTTTTCCCACATGATTTTCTTAGTTAAAGGTTTTTAATGAGGCAGTCAATGCAACACATTGTTGTACATATATTATGCACTCTTTTCCTTGATTGGTTTTTTCTCAAAGGGTTTTTCCAACAAGGTTTTTAACGAGGCATACACATACACATTGTATAATCTTTCATTCGAGAAGCTAGTAACCAGATTGGATCAAATTGAATTCAACAAGAAGTCCTGAATCAATGCAGTCAACATGGGGAGTATACACGCGCTGCACTCTTTTTCCTTTGACCAAGGTTTTGTCCCACTGGGTTTTCCTCGACAAGGTTTTTAACGAGACAGCATTACCATTGTGTACAAAGAGATTAATGCCTATTTTTTCTTGTAATGTTTTTATTTAGAAATGTACATCCAAGGGGGGGTGTTATGTAATTATGTGGATGAATGTAACCCTAGCTCCCCTTCCCCTATATACTATCGTATATGGCTATATGTGAATGAATGAAATGCTTTTGGTTCTCCATTCATGACATTTATTAAGTAATAAGAAATAGTCACATTAGTGATTCATTACTCATTTTTATTATATCAAATAATAATATTTTTATTTTTATATATACCATATTGATGGCATAAGAAAGATCATAAGAATTTATGAATTTTGATATAAACTTTCTTAAAGATTGGAATACAAATAAAAAAGGTATAACGCTTTAAAAGAGATTTTTTCTCCTTCACTTTCTCCAAATGAGTTGGCATGATTAATATGAATAGCACTTATGCATATGGTGAATAGCACAGATGCACCGAGTGAACTTGAATTAATTAAATGTTTTTGTAGTTTTTATACACGAATAAGAGACTAGCACCTCATTGATTTTAAACCCAAATCTATCGTATAAAATAATGTTTTTATTTTTATATATGGAATATTGGTGTCATATGAAAGAACATTAAAATCATTATGTTCTTTCATAAAAATTGGCGTACAAATAAATAAGCTATAATACATTTTTTCTCCTTCCCTTTCCCCAAATGAGTAGCAAGTCAACTTATATGAATTAAATGTTTTAGTTGCAGTGATGATAGAACTTTTATAAATCAATAGAATTTTTGACTCAGTTTTGCTATATAAAATACTACCGTCATCCCATTCAGAACTCCTCGTCCAGTATTCTCTAGTCAACCAAAAGTCTTCTTAATCTATTACTTTATATATCCAACTTTTATCAAATATAATTTTTCTTTTGTGATTTTATAAAACTTTTGATGTAGTCTTTGAATATTTAAATTTTATTTAATAAAAGAAATCTAATTACGGACACAGATCAATTAACTTTATGGTCAGTAAAATATCGCAAACCATGTGGGAGCCTTTCTAGGGGACGTAGAGAGTAATAGATCTTTATTTTATTTATATATATATGATACTGGTGTCATATGAAAGACGATAAAAAGTTATGAATTTTGATATATGTTTTGTAAAAATTGGATTATAAATATTAAAGTTATCTGACTTTAAAAAACCTAAGAGAGATTATTTCTCCTTTTTCTCCAAATTAGCCATGAGGTAGGAGTTTGACAATAGAATTTGCATTATCCAATAGGAGGTTGACACATCATTAGTTTTTAACTCAGCTTTACTACTCCCTCCGTCCCGCTAAGATTCTTACTTTATTCTTACTTTATCAATTCAATATCAACCACACAAAATCACTTTTCTTAATAAGCATGCAAATTCTCTTTTCTCAATCTTAGTGAGAAGGAGGTAATATATAAAACTATAGATTGGCAAAAAAAGGTGCGCCTAGCAAGTTAGGGGGTGCATGAAGGAGCTCTGCTTATGAAATAGTTAAAATCAAATACCGGTCCTGGTTTCTAGTTTTGGGACTAGACCAGGCAGTTCTGATCCTGACCGGTAATTTTTTTTCCCTACTTAGAAAAAGGACATTTAAAAAAAAAAATGGAACCAGTCCGGAACTAGGACCGGACCAGGTACTCAGAACAGGCCCAGAACAAGAATAATACGGGTCAGGCCCAGGCTTCACAAAAAAATGACAAGGACCGGGAAGTCTAGGCTTGGAACTATAACCGGACCAACCAGGTCTACGGTCTACCCCTAGGTGCAACTGTGCAAGCCTACAAAAATGTTCTAGACTATTTTTCTTTTCTGATTCCTGATCTACAGACTTTATTCATTGGACTTGGAATCTCATAACGACTACAGTTGGTTCAGGGCTGTAGTCGTGAATGCAATTTGCCAAAATTCTAAAAACGCAAATATTTGATTCAGGGCTTCCTCATAAATAAACGCAGGAAACCTTCCACTGGCATCAAATGCAAACATCCAAGGAAATTATAGAGCACTAGCAAAACCAACTATCTTCAATAATCTGACGATACCTATATTAAATACTAATCCTAGAAAGACAGAAGCAATTCAACAAATAAGTGTGTGCTATTAACTAATTTTTGTGATCAAATCAACACCAAAAGAATTACTTGTCTCCCGGGAAATTTATAACAACGGTTTTACATTTTGGTGCAGTAAACCTCAAAATAATGCCAAAAAATGGACGGATTCCCGAAAAGGTCAAGCAAAATATTTGTTTAAGTTATCATCACTTCTCTATCCTTGCGTCCTTATTTTCCTCAGAAGAAGTTTCTGCATCATATTGCTTCCCAAATCCGAGTTCTGACAAGTCTTGCTTTGCCATTAGGTTTCTGCAAACCCTCATGCATCCACGAAGCATTACTCACAATTCAAATTCTGAAACTCTCTTATAAGATAATAAAATCCAGATGAAGCAAATGATCTTACTTCTCCATTCGACATTTGAGATACTTCTTTGAGAACTGTCTACACTTTTCTGATTGATGTCCAGAAGTTTTCAAACAGCCGAGGTAATCTTTTTTCTCCTGATGACAACCAGTACAATGAGAACCAATGAAGAATAATAGATCAGGACCTATTCAGTAGGACCTATTCAAGATAGAACAGAACACGTTACCTGTAACAAACAAGATCAGACTTGAATAAGCCAGAAAACTTCAGTCCAAATGAATGAGTCCTTAGCGGTAGTTCCACCACTCAAAAAACTAAGTTATCTTTGTTAATGAAAAATGGGAAGAAAATCATCAATAGTTAACACCAACATACCAAGTCACATAAATGTGAGTGGTCTAGAGGAAAAACTCCCTTTTCTGGAGGCACAGGCCTTAATCCTCTATTTCCACCAAATGCCCCTCCTTCAAACATTTAAGAGGCATCTATCAGATAAGCTTAGGTAATGGAAACAAATAAGGAGGGAGTGGCTTCACTCGCATTAGTCATTCACCCTTTGTATTAAGAGTATAGTGATTTTTCATGAACCCTCCCGAATGTAATCACAAAATGAGGGCCAATACAACATCATTGTGCAGGAAAGAAAACTCTCTACACAGAGACTCTTTATCAGGACATTGGACTGAGCTCAGAGTAATTATACTAGATTTAAACATTAGCGAGTGAGCTTAATGGGAAAGTAAAAAGGTTTACACTAGAAAATTTAAGATTTTTTTAGCTTCCCTAGTCTTTAGCTCACCATAGTATAGATTCTTCCCCACTCTTCAGCAGTTTAGAAACAACATTAACCTGATTTTTGTCAATTATTATTGCCATAGAATTGAAAGTCTCTATTCTGATGAACTCTTTATTAGTTCACCCTCAAATACTGCATTCCTCCAAAGGAAACATGGTGATGCTTCAATTTCATAATACAAAATATAAGAGATATGCTATAAAATCATGACTATAAACAGCTAAACTAGTAAGAAGAAATTATTAGGATGTTTTTAAATGGAGTCAAATTTTCTAGTTTGGTCGGGTCTGCTTAAGTCTGGTCTAACCTAGTAGACGTCTGGTGCATGTGTTTTTACTAATGTTTAAGTTTGGTTTGATCCGGTCTATTCTGATTTTTTTTAATGTGATGTGTTCTTGAGATGATACCCGTCCAATTAAAAACATTCAGAGTTTAGTTGAAAAGTGTCATTGAAAATGAACTTAACTGGCTCCATACAGGGGGCAGTGGGGGCAACTGCTCCAAGTGGATCTTGTGAACGGTGGTACATTAAACAACACAATTATCCGAATAACTTTGTCAACATTCTTTTTAATCATCCTAATAACTTTGATACTTTCCTTTTTAGATAACGAATTTATGATTCTTAGTTTTCTGACTTTCTCTCCACTATACAAACTTCAACACTACAATTTTTAGTTTATTATTTTACATGTCAGTCAACTTTGGAAAAATTATAAAGAATGGAGTGTTTTTTCGGAACGATGTTAAGGCACACAATCTATTCTGGATTTATAAAAACAACAAAATTCCGTAGAAAGATACTACCTCCGTCCCATTTATATTGGGACGGAAGAGGGTGGTACGGTTATTAAGAAAAGTGGGTTTGTGTGGTTGATATTATTTGATAAAGTAAGAATAAAGTAAGAATGATTTAGAGCCACACAAACTTTGTCAAATATGGTATGAGACAATTTAAGTGGGACTTCCCGAAAAGGTAAAACGGGACAATATAAATGGGACGGAGGGAGTAAAACATTAGACCGTGTTTTGTGTGAAGCAATGTGAACAGCTGAAAAATACTTTATCCGTCCCATTTTACCTGTCCCACTTTCTTTTTTGGGTTGTCCCAAAATAAATGTCACATTTTCCTTTCAATAAAGAAATATGTGGTCTATACCATTACAGTTTATTATACTCAAATCTCAACCACAACTTTTATTTTTTCAATCACTTTATTAATAATTTTACCAAACCTAAGTAGGACACATAAAATGGGACGAAGGTAATATTATACTATAGAAGAGTTGTACTTTCAAGTAAAATTGTTTAAATATTTTAAGTTAATTTGAATGTTTTATTCTCAAATTTTGTAGTCAATAATATTTTTAGATACGCCACTAGCTCAATACATTAATCCATATGGAATAATATGATAAAAGCTGTAACAGTGCCTGGCTGAAAATAAAAAATTACCTGCACTCATTTCGAGAGATCGATAGTTTTCTTATATCTTCTATCAAAGTTACCAGATGTCGCAGTTAAATTGTAGCGTTCGGAGGGGCGGATCTAGCATCGCAATCAAGTAGGGGTGAAATCACAAATAACATTAGAACTAAATGTATAAAATGATCATTTTATCTAATCACCTTGTGACATTAATCAACCATGTAAACACAATAACGATGTGAAAAAACAATCACATATTCACATTAATACTAAATACTCCGTATAATTATTAATTGGTTAAAGCAGTAATCAAAATAGCAAATATTTAAACTCTTATAGTCTGTTTTTTGAAGGATAAACTTGAACTAATTACATATTTATGACTAAAATGAAGACGGTTTACGGTTTACAGAAATGTGATTAATGGCTAGAGTAGTAATGAAATTATAATACTCATGTTCAACTTTTAAACTTAAGTTAGACACTACATTGTAGTAACTAATATTCATAGTTTATTCATTGTAAATTGAATACCTGAAGTAAAGAATTGTAATACTCTTAGGCTGGCATCTAAATTGCTGGTAAATTGCTGGTTTTTTTCTTTTGAAACCCTCAAAAGTAAAAAGCAAGGCGTAGGTTTTAGGGAGAAAGGGCGTATGAACCAGGTTTCAGATTTCTATATTAATAACAAAAAAATCTATAATAAAAACTGTAGCAAAAATAAAACTGAGACTTGTAGACATACCTGATATTAGAGCGGCATACACCGAGCGGCGTGAGTGCGTGACAAAGCCACAGAAGACGATGGACGCCCGTAATTCGGAAGGGCCGAAGTCTGCGACTTGCGATCCTGATTTGGGCTTGGGCTATTTTTCAATATTTTTGTGCTTGGGTGTTTAGCACCATTTGCAAAATCAATAAGAGTACCCTCAAGAATTGAATCACCCTCGGGTTTGGGAATAGATTCAGACCTAGAAATCTTCCAAATTTGATGCCAGTAAGCCCAGTCGCTCTTCTCACTTTATACTTCCTTCTTCCCAGACGCTGTCGCTCATCTTATGCACACATGTGTGCCAGAAGAATATAGGCAGGGGAGAGATAAAATAGGACTAAAACAGTTTGAAAATTCCAAAATAGGACCGTCATTTTCTTATTCCCAAAATAGGAGTAATTACTGTTAGGAGTGGGATCGGTCCGATCTGGGTCGGGTTTTTGCTAAACCCGGAAATTACCCGGAAGGTCTCGGGTTATGAAAGTTAGGGACCGGAACAAAGCCCATTATATTCGGTCCGAGTCGGGTTTTTGGTAGCCCGGGTTCAGTTCGGGTTCGGGTTGGACCGGTTAAAGCCCGGACGTGAAATATGTCATTGTTCTTTTATATTTTAACACTTATTTTCAAATAAAATTAATAAAAAATACAAACCGCAAATAATAACACAAATATTAGTCTCCAAAATCACCAACAATTCAAATTTAAAGAAGATAATTATCTTAGTATTTTATGCATGATGTATAAATATAAATAATATAGGTTTCTTAAAAACATTACGAAATAAATTTTATAAATAAAAAAGTTACTAGAGTTGCTATAAATATATTCTCATGGTCATCATTACGCTAAACAAATTCAACATATTTTTAGTCACTAAAAGTTACTAAATTTTTTTTATCCACCGTGATTATAATCATATATTAGGAAATATTTTATTTATATTCATATACTATATTAATTTTATATTAAAACTAATTGTTTCGGGTTTTTTCGGTCCGGGCCGGGTTATAGATTTTAAGGCCCGTTAATGAGCCCGGAATTTTCAGTTCGGTCCGGTTAAAAAGAAAAAACCCGGACCGGGATCATAATTCGGGTCGGTCCAGGGTCGGTTTCCGGGTTTCGGTTCGGTTTTTCCCAGCCCTAATTACTGTCAAGTTTGGAAAATACTGTCATGTTTGAAGTCTGGTACTGCCAAAACATGGCAGTACTTAGTCCTATTTTGGGAATAAAAACATGGCAGTCTTATTTTGGAATTTCCAAACCTTTTTAATCCTATTTAGGGTAATATCTCATAAAATAATACTCCCTCAGCCCCGCTATAATTATCTCATTTTACCATTTCGGTCCGTCCCACTAACATTGTCCCATACCTTATTTGATAAAATTTGTGTGGTTCTAAATCATTTCTACTTTATTCTTACTTTATCAATTCAATATCAACCACATAAACTCACTTTTATTAATAATTGTGCCACCTTCTCTTGTCCAAAACTAAGGGGAAGGAGGTAGTAATAATTTTATCACCTCCCACTTAATAGTGGCACTTAGACCATTTGTAGTGGTCAAGAGTAGACCTGTACAAAACCGGGCCGACTCGCCCAGCCCGCCCGCACAAATAGGCGGGCTTGGGCATATATATTTACCCACCGGGCCGGCCCCGGCCCGGCCCGCAATAACATATGGGCGGGTTTGGGTTAGGGTGTAGGCCCGTTCGGGCCGATAAGCCCGGCCCGCTACATTTAGTATATATACATTTTTTAATATATATACTAATTTATTTATTTATTTACATGTACACATGTATATTTATACTTATTAAATTATCTTTATACATATTTATAGTTAATTATATTTAAATTTAACATAGTCAACACATGCTCAACACCACTGGACCAACTTATTTTCTTAAGTTTTAGTTCTTAACAACTAGCTGAGTCAAGATAATATCTACTTTTGTACTTAAAAATGATACTTTGTGCTTGAATTTTCAAATTTTAGCTATACGTTCTCATTATATTTTTTGTGTACGTGGTGACAGGCCTAAAAGCATTATAAGCGTATTAGCAATTTTTTAAATGTTGTAATACTATTTATAAAGTATTAAAAAAATTATATAATTTTTAAAAATTAAAGTTTTCCCGGGCCGGGTGGCCCGGTGGACTACTCGGCCCGCTCTAACGGGCGGGTATGGACATGGGGTTAGGCCCGTTTTTGCGGGCCGGGCCGGGCCCGCCCACCCATGATGGGCAGAAAATTTATAAAAAGCCCGGCCCGAGCCCGGCCCGAACCCGTTTTTGTACAGGTCTAGTCAAGAGTCTAAATTGTTAAATTTGGACTCCGTGCATATGAAAACAGTGTTTAGACTCCGTCAATACTAAATTTTTCTGCATTTGTGCGCCGTCAATAAAATACACTCAGCATATATTTTTCACATATCAATTTAGTAAAACATTAATTAAATTATTATAAGTAATGTTTTACTTTTAATATTTTCCCTAAATAATTATGAAATAAAAAATACACATTTTGATTAAAAAATAAAAAAAATTCATTAATTTTTTTAACGTTTTTCGGTTAAAAAAATGAACTTAGTTCAAGTAAACTGCGATTATGAAATATTCAGTTATTTGAGAATGTTTCATTAATTAAAAATTTGTGATTCATGTTTTTTTTGGACTCAGAAAAACTTCGACGTATTAAAAACTTGAGATTTTTTATTTTATTTTATATATTACATATTGGTGTCATATGAAAGATCACGAAAATTCATGAATTTTGATATGTTTTTTGAAAAATCTGGAATACAATAAAAAAAGTTATAAGAGTTTTGAAAAATTTGAGGTTTAATGACACAGGGATGACATCATCATTTGAGAGTCAATCCACCCTCTATTAATAAGACCCTCAACCCCTTACCCCTTTTAAGACCTCTCTCAATCCTCCACTGCACACATTTAGTAGTCCAAAAGTTCCATTTTAACTTTTTGGACTCCTAAAACCTCTCCACTCCAAATGGTCTTAGTATATACATATAAGGGTCATAAAGCCAATAAGACATAAATGTAATAAATACAATAAAATATGATTCAATTAAGAGTTGGAAAAATTCACATGAATAATCCCAACTATCACCGTTCTTCCAATAATAATCCCAAATATCTATAATTCTAGAATAATCTGAAATTTATATGCCTTTTTCTCAAATTGATCCCGGGTGACCAGTAACTTAGTGAACCGGTATAAAGGAACATAGAAAAGAAATTAAAAAAAAAAGGTTAGAAGCCTCCTTTCTAGCCGGCGGAACTTCAAGTATGGTAACCGGAGTGCTTCTTGGGCCAATTTTGACGGTACCTTCCTCTACCTACGATCCCAGTCTTCTTCTTATCTTATGCTTCCTTTTCCGGCAGAGGAGTGCTCTGGAGTTTAGGATCAGGACTGTTCATCATCTCTGATCGGTGGCTGTGATGGTGTTCTACGGTGTCAACAACGTCCCTTTCCTTCAATCTCTCTTCTTGCTTGGAGTGACGCCAAATACCAACAAAAGGGATGGACGACTACTGAAATCGGTTCAGATGGGGATGACCGTCTTCTTCATTTTCTCGCTGGATAGAATTACCTTTGGATGCCCAAGCAAGAAGAAGACAAAGAGGGAAGTAAAAAACTTAGTCAAAATTCATCGTACATTCCGGCCATATCTATTTCCCCTAGTTTGAGACTCTTGATTCCCATCAGGAATTCATTGTGTTCCGTCTGAAATCCTCGGATACAGAATAAAAAGCAGACACAAAGAAAGAGACGTAGAAGGAAAAGGGAAGAAAGGAGAAAAAAAGAAAGAAAAGAAAAAGGAAAACAAAAAAGCTAAAAGCCAATAAAAGAATGCCGCATGTCCAGGTGACCTATTGAATTGGTTTATGCAGGTCACTGGTTTGTTTTGGGAAGACAACCCTAATAGTTTAGATTATATTCGAATTACTGAAATATGAGATTAATATTGGAAGATCGCTAATAGTTGAGATTATTTATGTGAATTTTTCCTTAAGAGTTTGATTGACATGTTCACGACAACTTGTAAATTGCTTGCGTATCTTCAAGAACATTGCCCAAAAGTGAACTCTCTAGCAGAAGTTCACAGTGTATATAGACAATTTTCATGTTTTTAATTTGTATATAGACAATTTTCTTTTGATGAACAAAGTTATGGGAATAACGAGTATTCTCTGTCAAGACCTTCAAAAAAATTATTGGATATCTTGGTAGTCATGAGACATGTTTGTACTACACAACTCATTATCGAGGAATTGACATCAAATGGATGGGAAGACTTTCTTCTAGAAGTAAAGGAGTTTTGCTCAAAACATGAAATTCATGTACCTGAATTGAATTCTAAATATATGATTGGTCATTGCCGAAAGGAAACTACAGTATAGCATCATTATCACTGTGATATTTTCAATGAGGTAATAGACTTTGTGTTGATGGAGTTAAGAACCTAGTTTAATGATAAATCAGTGGATCTCATTTCTTTGAGTGCTTCTCTAGTCAAAGATTTTGATGTTCCTCACTTCTCTCATAGTGGGGTCCTTCAATTTTCATATTTAGGCATTGTTTGTTTATCTGATAGTACACCTTCTGACTTAAAAACAAGTCCCCTCTTTAACTTATATAGTTAAAGTTTTAAACTTTGGACATTAATTATTAAAAACTGTAATATTTCACTATGTCTATAAGATTTATTTTACAAATGAAGAATTTTACTGCACAGGGTGAATTGGTTAATAAAAATAAAGCTAGTTGGATGTACTTTTTACTCAAGTTGCCTACAGTAATCATTTTATCAACTTATTATTACAAGTTAATATGTGCCTTCATTCAAAGTGTTTGTAATTTAAATTTTGAAAAATAAAATAAACATCCATTTTGGAATATTGTGCAGCCTCTGCCCGTGGATTCAGAGTGTACAACTAGGGGAGAGAACATCACCGCATGCTTGTAATGGGCTTTTGAGCCTTTAACATGATTTGATAGATAATTTCAGGTAAGAGTAATGCCTAATGGTGTTTAGATGAAGGCTATCATGTAGAAGAAGGTTATTATTCTGTTTGGATTATAACTTGTCATTCAGCGATATATGTTGCTTTACTAATGCTGCTAGACTTGCTTTAATACTCATATGCATAAATATTCTCTTCATGGTCAAAATATTTTCTACTTTATGTAGTTTTTCATGTGGCTTCACTTAGAACATATATGGGTATTAATTATCTAAAGTGTGTTTCGAATGATTTTTCCAATTTGTGAA